GGGGGGGGGGGGGGGGGGGGGGGGGGGGGGGGGGGGGGGGGGGGGGGGGGGGGGGGGGGGGAGGGAGAGACGGGAGGGAGGGAGAGGAGGGAGAGACGGGAGAGGAGGGAGAGGAGGGAGAGACGGGAGGAAGAGAAAGAAAAGAAAGCGAAAGAAAGAAAAGAAAGGTAGGTAAAAAGCCAGGTGAGACAGGTTTCCGCACACGCGAGACCTCGGGTGGGGGCCCCGCCGGCCCGCTCGGCGATGCAGGGACCACGTGGGGGCGCCCGCGGACCGGACCCCGCACCGAGGCTGCGCCCGCGCCCCGGCCCCGCTCACCGCAGCAAGTCCGGACAGAAGAGGTGGCGGTAGGCGGGGAGGCAGTCGTCCCCCTCCACGTCGGGCGGCGGCTGGGCCATGGCGGTCGCGGCGGGCACTGCGGGGCAGCAGGCAGGCGCGGCCGCGGCCTCGGGGATCCGGGCGCAGAGGCCGCGGCGCCCGGACCCGGACGCCCCGCCCACCCGGACGCCCCGCCCCTCACCCCGAACTGCGAGGCCACGCCCTCTCGCGCGGGGCCTGCTGGGATTGGCAGTCGGCGCGCGGGGCGCAGGCGCAGAGCGCGGCCGTTCGCGCGGCGGGAAGGCGGCGCTCTCGGTTTCCCGGGCCGGAGTCTTTCCCGCAGGGTCGGCGTCGGCGCCGCGGTCGGAGCCTGCAGGACTCGTGGGACACCCCTGGTCCGGGCCGGGCTCGCAGCCTCTGGGCCCCCCTCGCCTCCCCGTAAACACCATGGGCAGCGCGGGGGCGGGAGAGAAACGTCCCGGACGCCCAGGAAACCGCGGCCGCTCTGCGCCGGTTCCCAAAACGACCCGTTTCGGGGCCAAGAGGGAAGAGGCCGAGGCCGGGCGCGGTGGTTCACGCCAGTAATCCCCGCACTTTGGGAGGCTGGGGCGGGCGGATCAAGAGGTCGAGAGATCCAGACCAGCCTGGCCAACGTGGCGAAACCCCGTCTCTGCTAGAAATACAGAAATCAGCCGGCGTGGTGGCGCCGCCGCCTGCGGTCCCCGCTACTCGGGAGGCGGAGGCGGGAGAGTAGCCTGAACCCGGGAGGCCGGGGGGTGCCGTGAGCCGAGATCGCGCCCCTGTGCTCCAGCCTGGGTGAGAGGGACTCTGACTCAAAGAAGAAAAAAGGTTCCAGTACTTCTGTTCCTTGTGGGGGCCCGGGCGGCCCGGTACCGCGAACCCAGGATGGGGCGCCCGCCACGGCCACGCGGGAAAAACACGCAGGGCTGCCCCCGCTGCAGTGAAGGCTGCCAGGCTCTCTGCGCTGGACGGCGCCAGCCCGCTGGCCCCTTCCCAGGGAAGGCAGCTCCTCCTTCGGTGCGATCAGACAGCCCCGGCTCGCGCCCAGCTTGGGTCCCCGCCAGATTCTAGGCTGATGGTCTCTGGACCCCTTCCTGGCTCATACATCCAACAAAATTACGGAACTAGGCATGTAAAACTTCATTTTTACTCTTAAACTGCATACAACTTACATAAAAGCATCATTTCTACCTCAGAGTTGGTGGAAATCATGAGTGCACCACCCATGTGCTGGGCACAGTGAATTTTAATGCCTCTCCTTTGGAGGAGGAGAGGTCACCCTACCTTGTAAAGACCCCCCCCAAAAGGTTGTCTGGCACTTTGGTGCAAAAAGGATTGGTCCAATCTTGTGCTGGCTTGGGGTACAGAAAGGCACTGAAGTTGGTGGCTCAGACTCCTCTGGGCTGGGGTGGGGCAGAGGTGAACAGGGAAGTGGTTTGGGCAGGCGGGTAGGGATGTGGGCTTGGGTTCTTGCTGACCGAGGTAGTGGGTCCTGCATGGAGGATGGGGTGGTAAAGGCAGCCTGAGCCTCAGGCAGGGTGGGTGCTGCCGTGCGGGGCTGTGTCTGCCCAGCTCACCAGCTCACTGCTCTGGAACCACAGCTGGATCTCTCGCTGGGCCCCCTCCACGGAGTCGCTGGCGTGGATGACGTTCCTGTGCCATGACAGGAGCAAAGTGAGGCTCACGCTTCATGTGCACCGTGGGGAGCCCCAGGGGCCATCGGCCGCCCCCCTGTTCCCCTCTGTCTAGGGGAGCAAGCCTGTGACTGCAGATGGAAGGAGGAGCAGTGGAGCTGGAAAACGGAGCTCCAGCCTGGCCTCGGCCTCTCACCGCCTCATGGATCCACCCAGACCTCAGTTTTTGGGAGGCTAATTTCCCCCGAAGTTGCCCTGTGCCAGCCCCTTGGGGTGTCAGGTAACAGGCAATGATGGCACTGTACACAAAACACAAAGGGAATGCCTCGTTGCCCTGAGTGCAGGAAGGTCTGGGAGAACATGGCTCTTGCCTGCTGAGCTGTTAGGTCCCACCTCAGCAGAGCAAGACACCCGGTCCCGTGGATTGCGCTAGGAACAGGCTGCCACCCCAAGTGCTTGCCCGCCTCACCCCCAGCAGCAGCCCGGTGTGTCAGGGCCCCTGTACCTGCTGATGTGGATGCTGAAGTCACCCCTTATGGTTCCTGGGGCAGCCTCAGCCGAGTCGGTGTGTCCAATCATGGCCCTTGAGGCGCGGACGACATTGTACCCTTCCCAGACCTGCAGCAAGAGATAACGGCTGCGGAGAAGTGGGGGACACCAAGGGCCCCTGGGCTCAATCCAGGGCCCTTCCCTTTGCTGGGGGGGAAGACACACCCACACGCCCCTCCACCGCCCCTGCCCCACCGTACCATGGCCACCATGGGCCCAGAGCTCATGTAGCGGATGAGGGCAGGGTAGAAGGGCTTCCGCTGCAGGTCCTGGTAGTGCTCAGCAAGGACGCTCTCTGGTGCCTGGGTGGCAACGAGGGGAGGAGGCGGAGCCCCCGAGAGTAACCCTGGGCACTAGCGCAGCTGTGGTGCCCTGACCTCAGGCCCCTGCAGATAGCAGCAGCATGGGCGGTGTCCCTGCCACAGCACAGATCCCTCCTGCCCCTTCAACTGCCAAAGCCAGGCCCTGCCCTGGCGCTGGCTGGGATGTGAAAGGCTGAAGACTCCCCAGCCCCGTCCCCAAAGGGACACCCACAAGCCCGGAGCCGCGCTACCTGCAGCATCTTCATCCCCACCAGCGTGAAGCCTCGCCTCTCAAAGCGTTGGATGACATCCCCCACCAGCCGCCGCTGCACTCCATCTGGTTTCACCGCCACCAGGGTCCGCTCCCGGGTCCAGGAGGGCCCTCCTTTAAAAGGCAAGGGGTCAGAGGCACTGACCCAGGTTTCCCTGCCAGAGCCCAGAGGTCACCAGGCTTCAGGGAGTCTGACTCTATGCAGGGCGCTCTGGAAGGGACAAGGATGGTGCCCACACCCAGAAACGTCCCCGTGATAATCCCAGTTAGGGATACCCAAGGCAATGTGTCCCCTGGGCTTCTAGCTTCTCCCAGGTGCCATGGCTCCTTCCAGCAGAGGCAGAAGCTGCCTGACATGGTGTGATCAACCCAAGGTCAACCAAGGCACAACCCAGCTCAGGGACCACCCCGAGTTCCACGGAGGCATGGCCCAGTTCAGGGACCACCCAGAGTTCCAGGAAGACACAGCCCAGCTCAGGGACCACCCCGAGTTGCACGGAGGCACAGTCCAGCTCAGAGGCCGCCAGGAAGTCTGGAGATGCTGCAAAACTTCCAGCCTCACTTTTGACTCCAGCCCTTCTGAGTGAGGACAGCCCCGGTCTCAATCCCAGACTTTCCACCCAGAGCCCACCCTCTGTGTCTGATGAAGGAGAGGCAGGGAACCAGGGAGAAATACACTTTCTCCACCAGGTGAGCCCTGGAAACACGGACAAAAGGGGCCTGAGGATTGAAGAGGGAAGGCGGGAGGGTTCCTGTACCAGCCAGGAGACAAGCCCTCTGCTGCTGTGGAGTTTCAAGGCCTGCTGCTTCCAGACCCAGAGTCAGCACTCCGCCCCAGCCTTCCTCTTCTGGAGGGGACTCTGCCAGGCAGACAGGAGACGTCCTCACCCTCCTACAATCCCAGGCCCTCCAGAGCCAAGCTGACCCTCGGCATTGGGTCCCTGGATGTCCTACAAAGGCTGGACAGAGCCTAAGGGACCCCGCCAGGCCAGGAGGGAAAGTTAACCCCAGCAGGCGGCTGAAGCCCATGGGCGGAAGGCCCGATGGTTGGTGTGTTCCCCCAAAACCCTGTTCACAGGGTGCCTTGTCTAGCCTGGGGCTCTGCTGCGGCTGGCGCGGGCGATGGAGGCGGGGGCTCACTTTTCAGAGCCATGGAGGGAGGCCTGAGACCTCGATCCCGCTGTGAGGTGGCAGCTGGGGGGCCGGGCGGCGCCGGGGCCAGGAACTTAGAGCCTGGCGTCCCAGTTAGACTCTGGCCTAACCTGGCCTTCGGCGCAGGCCCTAGCAGAGCGGCTCCCTAGGAGGTGTTCCCCGGCTGGGGAGGGTCCCCCACCCTCACCCCCATCCTCAGCTGCCCAGTGCGGCCGCCGGCCTCTCCCTTCCTTTCGCCCCCGGGCCCTCGGTCGCCCGGGACCACCCAGGATGCCAACTCGCAGGGCGCCTGCAGCCTGGGGGAGGAGAAGGGGCGCGGGCCGGCGCCTTCCCCAGCTCGGGCTGACCCCGCGACCCGCGGCCGGGGCCTCCGGGGAGGGGGGACCCCGCCCCGCACGTGCTCGGACAAAGGCCGAGCGGCGCGCGCCGTCCGCCCCCGTGTCCCCGCCGGGGCGCGCGGCCTCACTCACCCGAACTGGGGCGCACGAGCAGGCTCCAGCCCGGGGCCCGCGGACCGCCGCGCAGCCCTCGCAGCGCCGAGCGCCACAAGAGGCCGCCCATGACGCCCGGCCCGCGGGCCGCTGTGAGCGCCAGGAGGGAGCGGGGGGCGGTGCCAGCCCCAGCCCCGCCCCGGAGCACATCCCCGCCCCGGAGTCCCGCCCCGCCCCGGAGCCCCGCCCCGCCCCGGAGTCCCAGCCCGGCCCCGG